TATATATATGTGTGTGTGTGTGTGTGTGTGTGTGTGTATATATCATACGAGTTTTACAACGATCAAAAGTACCCTATTTCTATATTCTTCAAAGTATACCTTATTTGTGGTCTCGCTTTCTCTCCGATCTCTTGTTCGGTATATCTCTAAGACCGTAGTCTTTGCCACTACTAGATTAACTTCATCTACTGTCACCACCTTAGCCTGCACACAGTGCTCAACCACTGTTGGGGGATGGGCTTGTTTATAATGTAGAAACGACATGCTGGGGAACGTAAGTGTATCACACTGTGCTCTTGGTTCAAGAGTTATCTAATGTATCTAGCCCGAAAGTTGCGGCGCTATTTTGCGATGCGCAAATCAGTGCTTGTACAGGTGCAGATGGTCCTTAGCAAATCATTTGTCTGGATTTCTATCTATAATCACGCAGAACAGCGTTTGGTAAACCCTAGTAGTTCATATGCCTGGAGTTATAACTAGACAAAGTATACACAGGGGTGATACTATATACATACATGTATATATATATTATATATATATAAATAAGGACCATGTCCCTGCTGTATTTATTTACGTCAAATATATATATTTATTGAAACCCTCATATGAGTCATCAGACTGTACGGGAAAGTGAATGGATTTTTGTGGCACTGGATTTTGGAATCACATTTCACGTTACTTGTTCCCAAAAGTCACGTCAAAATCCCCGCCATTTTAGCAAAGAATTCATTTTTGGCTAAAATTTAATTCTGAGGCCGTTCAGTGGTTGGTATGTTTAATGTTTCAGTTAATATTGTAATGTATTGGTTTAGAAGACTTTTAGCCAATTGACAACGTTTTATATTATGAGTACCACAATAAAATAAAATATAATTGCCCGGATTCCGGATTCTATCCTTCTATGCGAGATCCTTGCTTACTTACCAGCTGAGGCCCAGAGAGGGTGACTATTTTTATGTGATACATTTATAAATAGAGCATATTCAACGCGACGAAACACATACACGGTTTAATCAGTACGAGAAGTACATTCCAAAATGCGAAGAGGAAGAATCGGTGGACCAGGCAGGCACGGCAATGCCGGTGCATTTGCTGTAGGGATGGCTGTCGGCGGGCGTAGATCTCGCGACCATTCACCAGACCATAAGTTGGTAAAGACTGCGGTAGTAGCTAGTGCTATCAGACCTGGGCCAAGGCGACCCCATCCCGTTGCTAAGGCTGCGGTGGTGGGCAGTGTGGTGGGAAATAGTCGCCGACCTGGTTTGACTCTGATGCTGATTAGGCCTCGACCTATGGTGATGCGTCCACGGTACGTCTACATGTATCTAGCTCGTACTAAAGCTTGATATATCTTCATACATATACATATGTGCATATATACACATACATGTGCAATGAAATCTGTACCCTGTATATATATATATATATATATGTGTGTGTGTGTGTGTGTGTGTGTGTAGTAGTAGTAGTACGTACG